TATGTGAGTGTGACGTACTGTGTGTTGTTTTGTTTGTGTGAAAATCCCTTGAGTTGAGATAATATGGTGGAACTATGATTTTATGAGTGTACTTGCGCAATTATATAATTGATAAAGTGCGATGGTGGTTATGGAGGGATGAAACTCCAATTTTTGTTGTTGTTGTTGTTGTTGTTGTATTTGCACTATCTTTTATTAGCACGGTCGTTAATTCTATGAATTGTCATTAAAATATATATATATATATATATATTATGATTGAGTTGTGACATCACCGTAGTAGTGATGGCTATTGTTGGTGGATAATGAGATTCACCGGTTATCATGTTAAGGAAAAGAGTTTCCTATTATTATAGTCTTGAATGGCAATGTTGAGATTGAAAATATCGTTGTTGTAAGCACACTTGTTTGTTTTTGGAAAACACATACAAATCTAAATCTAATGAATTGTACTCAGAAATTGAGAAAAATCATTTTATTGTACTCAGTGTGAGTTTGGGCTTCCCTTTGAGAAAATTTAGTATGTAAGAAAAGAAAATTTTCAGGGAAAATGAGGCAAACTTTTTTTATTTTTTTTTTATTTTTATAGCATTAGACATGTGATCAATTCTTTAATTTGTCATGTTGTGTAATGAACTAAGCTTTAACTGCTAGTTTGTGATTGTGCACTTGTTCTTAGTCGAGTAATGATGTGAATGACGGATACTTGTTTTGTTTTGCATATGTAGTTCAGGGTAGACTGTTATCGTTAAAGCTTGTTGTGTTGGGTAGTCATCCTTATGGGCCACTTTTCGTGAGTGTAATTCATACATATATATTTTTGTGAGAACTAATTGAGAGCCTTAGTGATGTTAGCATGAGATCATCTTTATGTTGAGTTATTGACCTACCAATAGTCTTTTCACAATGTTTGTAACAGAGGAAAGATTATAAATGGGGTGTGCGAGTTTTTGTGATTGAATTTTGTCTCGTAAAAAACCTGACGAGTCTTGTGGGTTGTCGAGAAGTTCATGATTAAATCTTTTCATTCTGTTTAACGAAACTCTCTTGGATCATAATGAAGGAGTCGATGACGACTTATCATATCTTGTTTGTGTTACCCTTGGTAGTCAAGTGTCCTTGAAGCACCGATGTGGGATTCAGGAAGCTATTTTGTATGTTGGCTTAAAACTTGAGTTGACACTTGTCATCCTTTGTTTTTAGTGTTTTTTTGAATCTTAGAGTGACTTCAATTTCAGGGACGAAATTTCCTAAGGGGGGAGGTTGTAGTGTCCAAGGTCTTAATCCTAACTTGTTTATGTTAAGTGATAAGCGTTACTCTATACTTACAATGATTTTTTGGACTTTTAAAAAGTTATGGATTGCATTTGACTTTTTAGTTATTATAATTGAGACCTCATTTTCATTGTTTGGAGCCTTGATTGATGAGTTATCTTGTTGGTTGGGCAAGATTAGACTAAGAATGCATATTCAAATATTTGTTTTGAATAGTGTTCACTCTTTTGCCTTTTTCTTTCTCCACATTTTGAATCTTGATGTGAGGCTAGGACCGCTGGAAAGCTTATTTCCAGGGCTTCAATTTAGACACAAAATTGACCATATTCCGTTTCCGAATGAGGGGGATATGCTTGTTTGAAGTCACCTAGTAAAAGCTGTCTGGTGGAATCTGCACGAGTGGAAATTTGAATTCTGTATGAGCGGATTTCATAAGAAAGCCATTTTTTCTTGAGTTGATCTGCACAAGCAATTTTAAAATCTACACGAGCAGATTTTACGCATTTAGACATCGATTTCTATGCTCTTTTCACTCAAATCAAATCCCTCTCTCTTTTTGACCATTTCTCATCTCTCTCTCTCTCTCTCTCTCTCTCTCTCTCTCTCTCTCTCTCTAACTTCTCTTTTCTCTCCCTTCTCTTCAAACTCTCACCAAATTTTACATTTTCTTCGATCTACAAGGATCAAGCGAGATTTTGATACTAGTTCCTTATACAAAAATGATGAGCATCTCGAAAGCTACGTCTTGATCGGTGGAGATCAAATTCCAACGAAGTTGATTTTTAGAGTTTTCTCTTCTTTTCTCTTTAAGGTAAGAATTTATTTGTTCCTTTTAAATACCTCATTATAGATAGACATGTTGTAGTTTTTATGCATTAAAAACTTGATTTGTTGGTATTTTTGAAAAGCATGTGATGAAGGTTAAGATTTTATGATTTAGAGTTAAATCTTGTGTTGTGTTATGAATATATGAGATTGTAATATTTGAGAAACATGTTTAAAAGGATTAGAGTAAAAAGTCTTAATTAATGTTTATGGGTTATAAGAAAGAGGAGAAAATTAGTGATTTGATTTTATTTGAATCATATGAGGTATTGTGTATTAAAAATGTGAAAACGGGTATGTAAGACAATAAAGAAAGTCATCATGAATTTAATTTGTGTTAATTGTTATTTATGATTTTATAATTGTTAAGTTGTAATAATTATTGAAAAATCAGAATTTCAGATAAGTAAAATGGGTATTGGTAAATGTTATGTGTGTTGAAAGATTTGTGGATTGGTTAATCTCGTTTATGAGGGTTGTGAGAAAAAGTCCCAAATCCTTTGGTTATTTATTTGTTTGAGAGAAGGGATTAATTTGTGTTACATATGTGTTGGATTATGAAAATAAATTACTAATTGAGTTTTGATAATTAATGAAAAAGATGTGATGATTTGTTGTGGGTATTGGGAGTTTGGAGAGAAGGGAAAATAAATTTTGAAAATCAATAAAACATTTATATACTCTTGTGAAATGAGAGGTAAAAGGAGCTGATGATTTTTTCTTTAAAACAAGTGAATAATTATATTCGTGACGAATTACTACTTGTTGAACTAAATTTGAATATTTTGAATTGAATTGTAAAGATGGGATGGTAGTGATAGAAGAGACTTTAATTGAAAATGGTGTGAATTGGAAGTTGAATTAATTGGAGTTGAAAGATAAAAGTTATGTAACATATAAATGTTGATAAAATCTAAATCAAAAGGATGAAATTGAATTCATGGACTTAGTACATGTTGTTTATGAGGCTGTGTCCTTGGCCACCGATAGAGGATGGTATTGGTGTTGTTGAATAATTTGTGAAACTTGGAATAATATGCTAATTGTTGAGTTGAATGAAAGTGTGCAGTGATATGGGTTCCTCTCCTTCCAAATTTGCGCCTGGTAAAGTTTGGCGCTTTGGCATGGGTTCCTCTCCCCTTCGATTTATGCCCGGTAAAATGTGAACAGATTCATCTCCCCTTCGGCTCAAGGACCAGTAAAGTTTGACGCTTTGAAATGGGTTCCTCTCCTCTCTGGTTTAAGCCCGGTAAAGTGGGTTGTGGTGGTTATGGCTTGATGAAGCCGGAGTCCGTTATGTGTTAATTACGCGTAATATATCTTCATACTTGTGTTGTGATAAGAAGGGATGCATTATTGGCTTTCCGTGTCTGTGATAGGTAAAATATAGTAATGCGTGTTGACGCATCTATTGTTGCTTATATATACATGTATTTGTGAACGTTTATTTTACACTTGTATTTAAGGCCATAATATATAGTAATTATCCTTATAGTCGTAATGAGTTAGAATGTAGGGCGAGTATATTGTTTAGATTGATCTTAGGAGATCGTAGTAATGTGATGAATGATTGAGATTTCTTTAAATGCAAATGAAACGTTTTGAAAAGTAAGAACTAGTCTTTGTTTCTTGTTATAAAGAGGATCTTTTGAAAAATTATATTGATGTAAGTATATTTTGAAGTATGAAATGTCATATTTCCTATATATATATATATATGGGTGTGTGCGGTGCTGGTCGGTGCAATTTAAGAGAAAAATATAAACCGTATGGCAGGTGGTAGATTGATAAAAATGTCATTAGAATTTGCTTTTTTTCTTATCAAAAATCGGTGGTTCGATTGGCAAATAATGGTGGATTTGCCTTGGCGGTTCGGGCGGATTAGCGATTTACAAAAAATATTATTCAAATTACAAAACTTGAATCAAAGAGTAAAAAGATCTGAAAAATCTAGAAATCCCTTAGATATTGATTTGTGATTATGTATCAATTTTAAGCAGTAAATAACAATCCCAATCAAACAATCAAGACAAATCGACACAACAATTATACGTGAAAAAATCACAATTAGAGCGCCTCCAATTGTGATAAAATAAAACCACGGGCAAAAGTTACAAAACAATCTACTAAGAAGACATAAAGGAATTACACAAGTGTACTCTCAATTACCTAGCGAATCTACGCCCGAATCAAACTGACCCCTATGTGCCTCTTCCAGCCCCGTCTTCACCTCGGAATTATCTTGCACAACGTTGAATCCACAACGTCGATGTCGAATCACGACTATGAGCCATTCCGAAATCCACCAAAGCTTCAGGCTCGAATTCCATGGAATCCACCAAAGAACAACACTCTCTTTTGTATTGAACAAAACAAATAATCCTTTGATGTATAATTTTCAAACCAGATTTAAACTCAAACAAACATCAAAGAAACTTGCAAAGAAGCTCCAAATATAAGCTCTAATATCCAATAAGAAGTTCTGGAAACCGTACCCTAAAATCGGACCGAAACATATATTTATAGAAAACAGATCTGCAATTTCCGCTTGAGCGCAAGAATGGCTGCTCGAGCAGACTAACGCTTGAGTGTAGGAAGTTCCGCTCGAGCGCAAAAACACAACTTCCAATACTTTTGCAGACAGTTCAAACTTTTGGAACCAAAGGTTCTCTGCTCGAGCGCACAAATGGCCAAGTAGCAAACATGAAAGAATAGACATCACAAACTTCTCTACTTCATAGCCTCACTGAAATAAAAAAATGAATAAAATTACAACTGAAAGGAGTTATGTCAAACGGGATTTTCAAGAATAAAAACCTAACAAGATCTAATTTATAAATTAACTGAAATAGTCAAAATTAAAATATTCATCTAATATAACATTAAACATTAACAAACTAGTAAACTAAAAATCCAACACTCCAAATAAATTATACAATAATAATTTAACAAGGCAATAAATAGTAAAAAAAAGTTCTAAAGTTAAACTAAGCTCAACATAGTTCGCAAACAATCCAACATAGTTCATCTAACATCCAACATCCAACATAGTTCTAAAAAAGGTTCTGAAAAGTTAATCAAAGTCCACAAACAATCCAAAAGTTCAAAAGTTAATCTAAATCCAACATCTAACATAGTTCTAAAAAAAAAAATTCTGAAAAGTTAATCAAAGTCCACAAACAATCCAAAAGTTCAAAAAATTAATCTACTCATCAAACTCCACAATAACTTCAATCCTTCACAATTGCTTCGACCAAACTCCAAAAACTTCATCAATCTGTACACATAAGCAAAGAAAACATAAATAAATAACAAAAAACTATCATCAAAATCATTATAAAAAAATTAAAAAAAATACAACAAAATAATATTCAAGAGTAAGAATTAAGTCTAATCTCAAGAACTTTAAAACCAAACTAGCTTGGAGACAAATTAGTCCTCAACAATAGTTACTTATTGTGTAGTAGATGATACAAAAAATTCTGAAAAATAAAAAATATTTTTAATGTTATTCAAAATTACATAAAAACTAAAATCAATATTAAATAATTAATTTAAAATAAACACAAATCAAAAAAATTACCTAACTCAATTCCTTCATATTGTTCAACATCATCCATACATTCTCTAAGATTGATTGGAATTGATGAAGACTGTAACCAATTTTGTGCACAAATTAGAGCCTTCACCATCTTTGGCGTCAAAGAACTCCTAAATAGATCAAGCACACGTCCACTGGTACTAAAAGCTGACTCAGAGGGCACTGTAGAAACTGGGACAACGAACACATCTCTTACTATTAGAGAGAGAACCTTATACTTATTGCCATTAACCTTCCACCAATTCAAAATATCAAAGTTTGGAACTCTTAGGTCTACACAATCATCAACCAAATATTTTTCCAACTCTGATTTGTTCTCCACACTTTTTTTCGACTCCAAATGGTTAATATATTGAGAGGCAAAGAGTGTCATGGGATCTTCCTCTTCCTCTTCATCAACTTCCATCACTTAAGGAGCTTGACTTTCATATGAAGGTGCAACATTAGCAACATTGTTCTTCTCAACATAATAATGATCAAACAAGTGCTCCAATGTTGCCTTCACCCTTGCCACTAAAATTTCTACCTTGTCATTTTCATACACTTTATTGAATGAAAACTTACGGTATGTCAACTTGTAGCGAGCGTCTAACACAACGGCAACATATAACAAGAAATTGATGTTATCGAGATTCTCCCAATATTTTTCGTATTTCAATTTCATCTTATCAGCCATGTTATTCAACATTGCATCTCCACTTTTACTCAATTGAACTAATTTAGATTGCACCGATACAAGTTGATGAAAAAGAACATTAGATGTAACATGCAAAGACCCTAAAATTTGTAAAGTCACATGATAAAAAAGTCTTAAAAATTTCACAAAGACTTTAGCTACCTTCCAATCTTCTTCTATAGGATATGAAATGAATCTTTTTCCTTTCCCTTTGCGTCTTCCACCATCATTCTCATTTGCATTCTCATTTTCATCATCATTCTCCATGAAAGATAACTTGAATCGTGGATCATCCTCTTCTAAACACTCAAAAGTTTTTGAAATTTCTCAGCTACCTCCAACATCAAATAGGTGGAATTCCACCTTGTTGGAACATGAAGGCATAGCAAACTTTTACAAGTAATCTTTTTATGCTCCACACAATTTTTAAAAGTTTGTAGCCTAGCCGGAGATGAGTTTATATATTTCACAGCTTTTCGAATCTTGGCAATTGAGTGATTTTGTTCTTTTAAACCATCACAAACAATTAAACTCACTATGTGTGCACAACATCTCATATGCAAAAACTCATTTGCCAAGATGGAACGCCAATCTTTGGTTTTTCTCTTCAAAAATGCGATAACACCATCATTAGAGTTTGCATTATCAACTGTAATAATGAAAATCTTATCAATCCCCCAGTCTTGCAAACGTTTGTCTAATTGTTTGCCAATTGTCTCGCCCTTATGATTAGGAACTATACAAAAACTAGGAATCTTTTGTGCAAATTCCAATCTTTATCAATCCAAATGGCCAGTGACAAACATATAATTTAGATTTTGAATTGATGTCCAAGTGTCAGTGATTAAGCATACTCGTTGTTTTCTTAGAACTTTTTTCAATTTTTGTTTTTCATCAAGAAATAAATTCAGACAATCACGAGCAACAGTAGTGCGAGAAGGGACGGGAAACTTAGGTTCCATAACTAAACAAAAATTTCTAAACTCTTCCTTCTCCACATGCCTAAAAGGTAATCCGTTAATTATAATCATCTTTGTTAGTGCTTCCCTACAAAGTTTTTCATCATATCCTACTGCTTTGAGAGATCCAATCTTTTGACCATCATGTTCCTTCTGCTCTCCTTCTTTTTTAACAAATAAGAGAGTTTTTTTTTATTTTTTGTCCACTTCTCTAATAGGAGACTTCATACATTGATGCTTAAGGTGGTTCCACATATTACTAGTCCCATCTTGTTTTCCACAAGCACCATAATCCTTACCACAATAATTACAAGCAGCCTTAGGTTTATCAAGCTCACAATCATCAAGTAAGGTGAAGTGTTCCCAAATCTCAGATTTCTTTTTATCTAAATTAATACTAGGGCATGGGCGAGTTTTACCAGAATTTTTGGCAGGCATTGTGGTAGTGGTAGAACTAGCAACAGTAGTTGATTCTGCAGTTGGTGCATGAGGGTTTCCACCAGCAACGCAACCATCATTTGTATTTCCCTCATCATCCATTCTCTATTACAAAATAAAAAATTTACATGAATGATCAGTAAATAAATATCAATGATGATAAGTATATATAAATAAAAATTGTCAATGAGTTACTTTTATATGTAAATGTCAATGAAGTAAGAATCCATAATCAGAATATTCTCACATACTCAAATTATACTCTTTATGCACCAAACATGCAATTACAAGTGAAATAGGTGCAACTGAAGCTCTTTTTGTCCTTGGGCTTCCAGATATACAGACCACATATTTTAGGGTTAGGATGGTGACAAAATGGTGTTTATTCATCAACATTATGGCTTTAAATCATTAGAATGATTGTAATTGTCCTAATTGAGCTTTATTTATCAAAAATTAAAAAAAAAATGAAAATGTCCTAATTGAGCTTTTATTCTAGGATACTCAATCCTCATTTAGGGAAATGAGGGTCCTTTAGCAAGTGTGGACTAATTTGAGAAAGCACCAATGCCTTGATGTTAATTTCTCTACATCAACAAAGATCTTCACTTTTTTGTATAGTATTTGCTAGCTCAAAATGCCATCACTGATCCATTTCTTGGTCATATGAAACTCTCTAATTGGCTTGATAGGTATGATGGTGCAATGAGTCACATGGAATTGAGCTAAAATGTTCAATCTCATAGTGTCAGCTATATTCTCAATAAGAACTCTATAATCTAAACAGTTCACAAATAACCAATTTGAATACTGAAACTAAATAACTTACAACTTGTTTACTGAAAGCAGTTTGAAAGCATAACTTTGGAGTATATAGCTCCAAAATAAATGACACAACAATTTTACAAAAGAGAAAATATGAGAGAAATATGGGAGAGAAATATATGAGAAAAATTTGTTGGCAACATGTTATATATATATATATAGAGAGAGGCTAACAACAGTGCATGAGTAAAGAACAGAGAAAAAGATATCAGCGAGAGAAAAAGAAAAAAACAAAGAGAGAGAAAAGAGCAGAGAGAGCGAACATCGAGAGAGAGCAATGAGAGAGTCACTTACCGACGCGACGAGTCGACGACGACGAGTAGGCACCGATTGGCAAGAAAATGAGACAATGGCGGTGGCGGTGAGGAGAGGCTACAGCGGCAGTGATGACAACCGATCAGCAAGGTGAGGAATGAGACTAGAAGACAGTAGCGGTGAATCAATATGAATGAATGAGATGAACTGTGTGGGTGTCAATTAGGTTTAATTAAAGAATTATTGTGTGTGTGTGAGTATATGTGTGATAGATGTGTGTGCATTAATCTATGGCTGAAATTTCTTGCTGTGTGTGTATGTGTAACAGAGGATTTGTTTTTTTTGCATCAGAGGTGGGTCGAGTCGGTTATAACCACGGGTTGGCAAAATTTCACCCGCCACCCGCGCTGACCCGCTAGTCCTAAAACCCCAGCTAGCCCAACCCTCTTGCCAGAGTTTAAAAAATGCATAGTTCAGAGCGATTCGGAGCGATTTTGGCGATATTATGCACACCCCTATATATATATATATATATACATGGAGCATTCATAATCATAGCTATCTATATGTTGCTATTGTTTTGGACTATTGGGATTCCTACTGGACCTTTGTATTCATCGCACATTACTAATCATTTTTCAAATATGGAGTGAAGAGTTGTTTGAGACTGGAACTCTGTTAATTGTTAGCCATGGGGCTTTTTAAATGCAGGCGGAATGTTAAAGTATTGTAAAAAGGGTTAATCCCTTTTATATATTTCGTTATTTTGTAATTGATGACGTAATGCTTATGGGTGTATATTGTATTTCATTACATGTACACGAGAGAGGACATTGTAATTTATTCCTTTCTAAATATCTTTGATGTTTATTATTATTGAAATGGACTGATTTAAAGAAAAAAGATAATATTATCTGAGTAATAAAAGTCGGGACATTACACATCCCAATTGAGGTCCTTGAGTTTTTAAACATCGAAAGTGGAAGTTTTTGTTTTTATTTATTTTTTGCTAAATTTACCCTTATGAGATAAAACCAATATAATATATTTTCTACGTAATTCCTAAATGAAATGAAACAACAAAAACAACCACCTCTCCTCCCATTATCCCCATTGTTGTAAGTAGTACTGGAAATCGTGTTGTAGTTTCTTGTTATAAATGATGTTTAAATTGATTCGCTATGAACTTAAGTTTTTTGCCTCATAACAAATGTTTCGACTTCAATAAATATGACAGTAAGAATCGAAGAGGGAAGGTTTACGCTTGAGAACAACATTAACCCTTTGTTTTTTATTTGAAAAAATCAAGTTTTTATTTATCCAAAACTCCACAAACCTAACCAAAAAGAACATCTTGATAGAATAGAGAAAATTTCTTATTTTGATGAAACAGAGAAGTTTCTCAAGTTTAAGGAAATTTCAATAATAAAATTCTATTGTACTAATTTTGAAAATTTCATTCCTAATACAGAATTAGAAATCTAATTGTTTCAATTGGCCGTATATTTTACAAATTTTTGTTCTCATTTAGAAATTTTACAGTTTGAAAATAGTTAATTTTACTATGTTATGTAACGTTATCAAACTAAGACATTGATTTTTCAAAATGAAAAAGGAGTTAACAATGTTTTGGATTAGAGCTGGAAATTCCATATCAATTTAGGACTTTTTTGTTGGAACAATCTTCTGTATACAATAAATAAATTGAAACTAAATCAAACAAATAAAATAAATAGCATACCAAACTTATTTTACCGAACCGAATGAATATTTAAAAGATCAAGTCGAGTGTGTGTCATTCTGTTCTTAAGACATATTCGCCCCGCTACAGTGCTTATGGGTTAATGGCGTCTATCTCCTAAAATACAATGATCTTCACAAATTTGTAGTAGCACTCCAAACAAATTTGTCTGGCAAACTAGAACCTGTGTTCTATACTCTCTAAATTTTTCCTAAAAAATATATGAAGAATATATGCAACAAAGCAAAGATTGGACAGCAAGAAAATGGATTTTCAGACTATTTTCGAATCTCTAAACACTACTGGAATGATTTGAATTTATAGGCAACACAAACTGTCTCGAACAAGTATGAAAAAGAAGTGAACAGATACATTTTCCAACTGTACAGGTACTGTTTGAATTTCAAACAGATCTGGCAGTTTCAATAGATAACTGCACAGTAGTTAAATTTGTTTGAAAAAAAACAGAATCTATCTGGGTGTGCAACAGATTTGGAAACTGTTAATCTATTTGGAAATTGAACTGAAAGAGGCACAATTTTTGGACACAAAATTTGAATTAAATTCAATTTGAAATTCAAATAATTTCCTATAAGAATTTGGAAAAATTCAAATAAATTTTGTTGCACGTGCGCGTGTGTGGTGATTTCAGCCAAGGTTCCATTTGTCTATAACTCTGTAGACGTGCCCTAAGAGAACTCTCCAATATTCGCGCGCGAAGGGTGCGAATCTCGTTTTGTTCTGAGCTACTACAGTTCGGACTCAATGTCACAGTTCTGAATCTAAATCCCACAAAGTGCAATGTGAGACCGATAAATCACCATAGAGTCCAAATCTGACAAATCGTTTTGGAAAACTGATTTTTATAAAGAAGTGCCAAACATGGACTGTTTTGCCAGATACAGAGTCGCCACCTAAATATTTTATTTTGGGAGAAATTTAGGAAACCCTGACTCATGCCTAAGGTCATGTGTCCATCATCACCAAAGTTGCCTCGGCTTGGGAACTTGGGTACGAGAGGGGAAGGTCATGCAATGAGCACCCTTGCTCGGCCGATCAAAGATCGGCCTGTACTAAGCATGATATTTTGTTTTTGAAAACACATGTGCTCTTATTCCAGTTAATTAGCTAATCTTACTACGTGATGCGCACAACATACAAGTATAGACTAGATCGCCTAATTTGGAACAAAACATTGCATGTTCGTTTGTGAAAATGATTTGGAGTTTGCTACTCACAAGTAGGCTAAATCGGGGATTCAATGAATTGTTCCAATTCAAGTAATCCAACCTTCACCCATAGGCATTCAGACAGTTATATCAAATAATCAGTTAGCCTCATGGCAAGCATGCTGAACATGGCAGTCAATAACACACATGTAGTATGCTAAAGCGTAAACACTCACAGTGTACTCTGAGCCAAAACAAAGAACTAGTTAGAAATCATGCATGATCCTAGTTCATGTTAAGATGGCTAATGCAACACATACAAGAATGTGACTAAAATAGGCTCGGTTATTCTAGAATGTCATGTGAAATGCAACTTGATAGTATGCTATTGAACACGTATTCAAGCAAATGTATTGAAATACAATGTTGGTTTGTATGATGCGCCGAGCCCGGTGCATGCAAACCAGATGAATGGATGCACGCATGTAAAATATAAGGTATGCTAAACAAAATATGCCCTAAAACTAACCATCGTAAGCGGTTAAGTAAAAGGGAGAAAGAAATAGAGGTTAGAAGACATGCATCACACATACACACACGCTTATTACAACAGTTGACCCTCTCGACGGAGGATCCGAAAAGAAGCTAACTAGCTAATCTAAGCTAATTAAACTAATTATTACATCACAACGAAGCTAATTAACTAATCCTGGTTAACTAACTATTACAAAACAATTAAACAGCTAACTACTTAAATAGAGAATCCAAAGCATAAACTAGCTAAGCAAATTAGCTAAGTAAAGCAGTAAAACAATGTCCTCAGAGGAAGAAGGGTGCATACATGCCCGGTTGCCTCGTTCGGAAATCCGTCATGATGCCCCAATTTGCCTCTGTTTGCAACTGTTTTCAGAAACTTGCACCAAGCTCCAGAAAGCTTCCAACTCACCTTGGGGACCTGTGGGAGGGTGGCCAACCAGTTGTTGATGTGGGAGACCACCTGTCGACCACTTTTTGTTGTTGCAAAGCAAAAAAAGTGGTCGGCCAGCTAGTTTTTCTGGCTGGCCGACCAGTTGTTGCTGCACTTCTCCAATTTATTACAACAGAGAACAAGAAAGGGCATGACAATGTATTTGCAAGATATGTGTGCACAACCACCCTCCCTATCATTTCATAAGCTCAAGGGAGTGTGGTTCTCGACCCTCGGCCACCAATCACGCATTTCGATGCATGATGGCCGAGAGGCGAAGTTGCACAATTCAATATGAAATGAATGCACAAATAAACACTTAAATGCCTAGAGCTCTATCATGTATGATCAAGAGCATCGGCGACCGAGAATTGAGGCACGTTTCATCACTTCAAGTATGAAACGTCCCTCGTTTCTCGTGTTTGGACTTACACCTATTCCAAACACAATGCAACACATAACATGGCATGCACAATGCTATGTAACATAGAGCATACAAAAATGCAATGCAACACAAGTATGCAAATATGCAATATGACTTAAGCATGCAAACATGCAATGCAACATGAATAACCTAACAAGGCTAATGGCATGCATATACAATGCAATGTAATATAACCATACACAATGCAAAGAATATGGCATATATAATGCGATAAATCAACATGCAAACAACATTGCATACTTAATGCGATGAACTACATGGCATACATAATGCTAAATGGACTTAAACCAAAAGTGGACAGACCTCAGCCATGCCGAAATCAGTGGCCATAACACCAAAACAAAGGCACAAAAGGGCAAGGCAAACATGCACATGCCTTGGCCTATCAAGTAGGCCTAAGGGCACAACCCTCAAGGGTGCTCAAGGAGTGATAAACATGGAAGTGTGACAACACTAAATGCACTGAAATAAGGTATGGAATGATGCCAAATCATTCAAACAAAGCAAGCATAGCATGCAAAGGTCCTTAAAGCATGAAGCTAGTAAAGAGGACTACAAAAGAGGGCATGCAATACATGGCACAAGTGCATGAACCAACCATGGACAGAGCTTAATTAGGTCTAAACAAAGACCAAAATATGCTAAGATAGAGGCTGAAGGACCTAGGCAAGATGGCATACATGCTATGCCACAAGCAAGGCAATAATGCACAACCCTTAGAGGCACTCAAAAGGTGAATGAAGTGGGAACATGACAATGCTAAATGCTCTTAAATGAAGTATTAAATGATGCCAAATCATCTAAATAGCTCAAAGATAGCATGCATGAGTCATCAAAACACAAAGCTAGCAAGG